GAAATCTCCATTAAGCATTAAAAGTTAATTATTAATTGATGTTGAATTGAATGAAAGATTTAATCATTTATCTGCAATCCTGGAATGTGTTCTCGACGCGGTTTCAATTATTAGTTATTATGTATTTCATCAATTAGTATTTATCATGGAAGTAAGAAAAATGTCGCGAAGTGTTCACCTTTTTCCTCGATCACAATCATGAATGGTTTCGCTTCTTGCAAAATATGCTTTACCCTAGCTTTAGGGTATTCCACGTCCAGAGGTAAATACGCCATGTTGGCCTTTTGTATAGCGATCAAGATGATGGGTAATCGGTGAGATGGTTTCATGCACACTCCCACGACCCATTTTGACGAGCCTTCTGGTTTTTCGTACTTTTTAAACACTCTGGCTAATTTGTTAGTCGATTCCTGCAGCTCTCCGTAAGAAATGGCGTATTCCTGTCCATCATCATCTGTTAATGAATTCCGATAGGGTATAGATTAGTTTCGGTTCTTAACGATGCTTAAGGGGATAACTCCGATAGCTGCTGCTTTGCGTAGGTGAGTCACGGTTCGAGGTTTCCAGAAAAGGAAGACGTCTGTGCGTCTTTTTCCTTCTTTTAAACAAAACTCGACCAAGTCGATATACTCGGTCACCTGTCGGGACCTTAGGACGGTTATCTCGTAACATCATTGTTATTCAAAACTGAATTAAAGTCAATTGTAAGTTACAAATGTGAGGACAATGTATTCATGTAAGATCTATTTCTGACACTACAAAGGATAAATATCAATAAATCAATTAATCAGTAGTGTTACTTGATGGACAAATGAATCAATTAATTCATTAATCAATCATGTTTTTACTCTGAAAATGCATATAGGTAAAAATCTAAGGCCTAGGCTTCATTTACTTACTCATCCACTCATTCATTAGTTTATTCGTTCATTCGTTTATTTGTTCAGTACACATCATAAATGAGTTTCAAAAACAAAGGCTTCTGCATTGAAAGTGATGATCTGAACTATCTTCACATCCCAAACACATTAAAAAGCTTTCAAATTTGTCTTGTGTTATCAATAATGTTCAACACGTTTATTCTTCTTTATTTTTATCTTTTTCCTTTAATCTTATAGTCTAGTTAAGGCGTGTTCGTGTTACGCTTACTTATTATTATCAATGATAATCACCTTCGTAGCGGATCGCTAGCTGACTAGAATAATTTATTGTCGTCTGGTTGAATAACTTCTGAAGCGTATTCTTCTGTTTGCCTGTGGCTGCTTGTCGGCCTTTTAATACCGACTGTTGCAGTGAAGTGTCCATCTGTGAGTTCAAATGTTCGTGTCTGTTTCATCGAACGTTCTGTCGATCGATAAGTGTCTCTGAACAACAATTTCCTTTGCCAGAACGCAAAGTGAGGCATAGTTTTTAAATTATTAACGAAAAACACTGACCAATGAGAGAGCGTGTAGGGCCCGCGCTAAGCCACAGCCGAACATCAAGATCCGAGCCAACCTACCCATTGCTGAGCGCGGGCTCTACGCGTGCTCTCATTGGTCAGTGTTTTTCGGTAATAATTCAAAAACCACGGCTCACTTTGCATTTTGCCAAAGGAAATTGTTGTTCAGAAACATCTCCAGAATCACCCCTTTTCGGCTCTAACATTCTGGGATACTCTATATACTACTATCGAATAATCGGATTTCTTCGCGGATCTCAGGAGCTGTTAACGTAGAATTATTTTCGTATTTCTGAATGTTTCGACGTTTCGTTTTAAACACGAATTGCTCAATTGTGTATAACTCTTTTTCTTCTTTGAAATCGTTCAGAAACTCTTGTCACATTATATTTCAAGCACGTATGTAAAATTTAAATATAAGGCAACATTTTTATATTTCTGGTGAATTCTCGCTAATCTTTAAATTCTCTATCGATGTACGTTATAAAATATTTTTGCAACTCTAAATGAAGTACATGAAATTGCATGAAATAAAAAATCAATATCGTTCAAAAACTTTTATCCGCAACTATATGTATATCTCACAAAGCTTATGTTTTGCCAAATAATATTCTCGATGATTCCCGAAGCTAATTTCTATAAACCTGACTTCTGCGAGAAAAGACTTTATTGTAAATAATAACTTACATTCCTGCAGGGTAGAATCTTACTAAGGATTGTAGCATTAATTGAAGAGCAACACTTGTTCCAATAGTTAAGAACGTACTCGTTTGTTTTATACTGTCAAGCTCTTATACATATATTTGATATCTGGATTTCTTGCTATTACAAGACATTCTTGGTACACACTTGATATTGCATCGAGTTCCAGTAAAGTTAGTGCATTATCGTGTTTATCGTGATTATCTATGAACCGTAGGAGCCCTGCCAGAAGTTTAAAAAATTTGATAAAAAGCTAAGTGTCATGTTCAAACAACTTTGAGGAAAAATTATATTTACAAAGAAGTTTATAAAATTGATCGAGGTATTTTTTTAAATCACAGGGAATTTTTAATGTTATAATACATAGTTTGGAACTTTCTTAAGGGATTATACCTGACATAGAACCGCCTACATTATTTAATACACGTTTGATGCGGCTCTACCACTTTTACTGGGACACTCTTGTATAAATCTTTATTTCAACCACATAGTGGCCTAGAAATAGATTTGATTTAGAAATGCTTTCTTAACTCCACTCATCATTCCACATCTTAATCCTGCATATCTCTATAGGCATTTGTACTAACGTTAACTATTATATCGAATCTTATCGAAAAGGAAGAAATGACAAACTGACATTTCAACACTCCGTATATACATTTCAACATTTGATAAACAATATAAAGATAATGACAAAAAGAAAACGCTTTCGTTGAGCATTAATATAAAATCAATATAAAAATTTATAAGAATTAATATAAAAATTGAAGCAACTGGATTATATTTTTTTTGTGATTTATATTCCTTATGTGTCTCCTCAAAATTCGATAATAGTGTTCAAAAAGGATGAAGAATTCATAAATTTCAAATTGGATTCAAGGGATATTTTTGATGTTCGCTTATTTAATTTTATTGCTGTATTAAGACTTTATTACGGCTTTATTGCTTTATTAAGATAATCACTTTCACATTTGAGTGCAGCGTATAAAAGCTGAAAGCTTCTTCTATGTAATCACACCTTAGTTTTACGCATGAAACGATTAAGTGATACGACTGCATATCCATTAAATCTACTGTCTATTTGTAAATTCTATAGTTATACATATACAGGGTGGGGCAAACAAAACAGATCACCTGAATAGTTCGTTTGTTTTTGAAGATAGAGAAAAATGCATTAGACCAAATTTACATGGTATTCAGTGGGCTTATAATCTGTTATTATTAATTTTTCTATGGGTGGAGGCGTCATGGACATACCAATCAAGTTTTTTTAATAGTAGTTTGTCCGTCTAAAGTATGGCTCCGCAATATTCAATCTAAATGTTCAGTTTCCTAAAATGAAGCAGAGAAAGTAGAAATGGTTATTATTTATGGCGAATGACGTAGAATTATTCAAAGACAGAAAGTGAAGGTCTGTTATGATCGGATAATCTTTCACCGTACACTTGCACCGCTTCCCTCATAATTCTATGATCTAAATGCGTTTTCTCTTTCCTCTATCTTCAAAAACAAGCGAACTATTCAGGTGACTTGTTTTGTTTGCCTCACCCTGTATAGTATTCTAAAATAAGTTATTGATAGGATTTCAAGAAACACACGGATATCTACGGATTTACGAAGTTCAAGGAATGCAATTGACTTTAATCAACAATCATCAATAGCAGAAATGAAATAATTAATTCCCGGAACTCGAAACTGTGAGCAATATGTATAGTGTGAATGTACATAGGAAACAATGATTCATTATTATAAAAGATATTATGAGAATAAAATCTTACATCGTAAAGGTACGAAGCAGGAGTAAGTTATATTGTAATAGTTGACTACTATTCTAAATGGTTAGAAGTAATAAAAACTAGAACTAAAACAAGTAAAGAAACCATAGATGTATTAAAACGCATATTTAGTATATATGGCATACCAAGAACCATAAAAATGTGACAACATGCCGTGCAACAGCTATGAAGTTCAAAAATTTGCTAAAGATTGGTGTTTTAACATTTAACTGTGTTTGCTCCGCCTACCTTTCGGCTGTAGTGTACGCATACACAGAGAGGTAGGCGGAGCAAACACGGTTAGACAAGGACACAAAGAGGGCCCATATCGTTCTCTTTCTCTATTTTACTACTACCGTTTCGGCTTATAGACTCGGCACCATTCGCGCGGTTTATTCTTATCAATGATTGTGAAACTGAAAAAAAATAATGTATGAATTAAAATCATATTTAATGAATAAATTTTTAATGATTGATTTAAGAGAAATAAAGGTTTTCTTAGGAATTAGAGTTACGAGAACTAAAGATGAAATAACGCTCGATCAAAGTGTATAGATTGATAAAATTTTAAATAAATTTTGTTTACAAAATTGTCAATTTGCAAGTAGATCAATGAAAATTAAATTATACTATGAAGCTTAAAATTCAGATGAGATGTATGATGCTCCATATCGTAATCTCATTGGATGGTTGATGTACTTAAAGTTGTGTACAATGCTAGACTTGAGTTCAGCAGTAAATATTTTAAGTAGATTTACGAATAAAAATAATAAAGAATTTTGGAATAGATTAAAATGAATTCTACGGTATTTGAAAGGCATATAAATTTGAAATTAACGTATACAAAAGGTAATAATAAAAATTCTTTAATCGGCTATGTCGATTCAGATTGGGGTAGCAATAAAACAGACAGAAGAAGTACAACAGGGTACTTAGAGCATATACTACATGGAGGAAGCACGCCTAAGGAAAAAGTGTAGACAACGGTGAGAGAGAGAGAGATGATGGTTTGGGTACTACCTTTCTCTCTCGCGTACGCACGTGATTTCGCGCCGTTTAGGATAATTGGCGGAGACTTCCCCCTCTATCTCTACTGTTAGACAGAGAGAAGGAGTAGCTTCCTATCCACCCCCTCGAAGCTATCTCAAGTCGCGAGGTTTTCAGCAGAAATTGATAGCCCCAGACGAGATGCCGTTCGCGGTGTCGATTGGTTTGAGAGCCGTGTCGGAACGACCATAGGTTGCTTACGACATCGGCTTGCCTCAGATAGTTTAGCAGACCCACCCGAATGCTCGGCCACTTCACAGCTTAACACATTGAGGGTCACGCGAAGAGTAAGGAAATCCCCATCAGGCCACCTGCGAAGCAGGGTTGAGATATTTTTACCCACGGCCGGAAAGTGGGGATGACGCGTCCATGGTGGGGACCAATAGTTGGTGGGGGTATGCAGTGATTTTCACGGTAGCCCTGCGGAGAGCTTCGCGAACGCGCATGAGCATGCATGAGGGGAATAGTAGTGGGGATCGAAATACGGGCGAAAAACAGGGGAAGCGAGCGTCGTGGGTAAAAATATCTCAACCCTGCTGCGAAGGACAACCGTTTTTGTTTACCGTGTTTCAAGATAGTGTCAGTCACCGGTGACTGACGTGGCACTCAACGCGTTAAACATCAAACGAAAGAAATACGGTCACAGGATACTTAGGAACGTGGATATTAAAAGAAGCTCTCACTGGACGTACGGTAATCTATTCGAAATGAGAGAATGCGAGGAGTTCGCGTAATACTCAGCGTGCGGATAATTTTTCCCTCGAGGCTCGCTTCCCCTCTTTTTCGCCCGTATTTCGATCCCCACTACTATTCCCCTCATGCGTGCACATGCGCGTTCGCGAAACTCTCGGCAGCGCTATGGTCCCCATCATGGTCGCGTCGTCCCCACTTTTCGGCCGAGGGAAAAATTATCCGCACGCTGGTAATACTGCCACTGGTACATAACACTGACGATGATAATACGAGAATTCGCTTGTGCGGCCGCTTCATACATAGTTGCTAATGATGCTAATAATAAACAACCCGTGTCGTTAGGCCGGCAACCTGGCGGTTTTGACAGATCAGTGTTATTTATCAGATTGATTTGTTACATTACATAATTGTTTTGAGTATTGTTTCCAATTGTAATACAGAAGCACTACGTTTTATTAAATCATCAAATTGTGGATCTCCCAGCTTGTTTTTGTTTAGGAGGAGGAGTTGATTAGAAGAGGGTTTAGGTCACTACTAGTGTGAAATTATTTTACTATGAAGTCCTTCTATCTCCATCTCGTTTCTTTATTCCGAGAGTAAGAGATGAGAAATATTGCGCTCAAGTAATGATTAAATTTGTGACGAACCGTCACGTTACACCCTGCGACTCGAACACGGCCACCGGCTTCGCTGCCGCGTCCCACGCAGTCACTGGCGCGACCCGCAGCTACACCAGCCGCCGCTAGGCGGCTACGCCGCGCGAGTCGTGCGGGCCGTTTCGCGCCAGCGACATCACGCGCCGCGCGTATAAATACCCGTCCGTAACAGGGCTCGGATATTTTATCCCGCACGGTTCGCTTCCCCTCTTTTTCGCCCGTATTTCGATCCCCACTACTATTCCCCTCATGCGTCCTCATGCGCGTTCGCGAAGCTCTCCGCAGCGCTACCGTGAAAATCACTGCATACCCCCACCAACTATTGG